TCATCATAACAATAACAACCAGTTACTCTTTTATAAACCCGGTGGGTTTGAATCCCAGTTCCTTCTTTTCCCTTTGGTCAAATGACAAAAGTCATTTGATAAAATCAACAGAAAAAAAAGTATTAACCAAAAAATTTTTTTTTTATTTTTAATTAATTGCCAAGCACAGAATGGTTTTAAAATTCAAGTGAATCACACCTCCAATTGGATTTTTCAGTCATGCCCTGCCACAGAAACTCAGGTTCTCACTGTCTTTACCTCATTAATAGGACATAAAGCAGGGCTAGAGATATCGCTCGTAGCCAACAGATTAAGGATCAGGTAATTTTTCAGTTATACTGGAAATTTAGCAAACACAAGACTGATGTAAAACTGATATTGAGAAAAATGGGCCAATAAATTTCAGCTACTGTCCCAGTGATGCAGGGTAAAGTGCTCCTAATTATATAATAGCCTGCCACATAAATTGTTAGTATGCCATGCAGTGTGTCACTTTCTGCACAATCCCATAGGATACCAATACCTACAGCCACTGCTCTCAAATTCTTTGCTGTTTTTTAAGCCTTACCATATGTCATATAGCAGAACTAAACTCTAACAATATTTTATTCATTGCAGCATTTTAATATCAGAGTTAAAATTGTTTTAAAGCCTACAGTTGGGTTTTGAATAAATATTTCTTCAGACTTTTAATTCAGCAAATGAATAAATAATAAAGCTGTAGGATTATTTAGACAAGTAGTTTAGACTATATTAAAATGAGCCTACTACTTACTAAATAGTAATGTCCAGTATGCATGTATTAAGAATTAGGGCCATGTTCTCATTTATATCTCAATAAGAGGTATTAACACATTATTTTTATTTAGATTTCTAAAATGTTGATTTATATTATTAAAATATTGATCTATGTGAGTCAATCACATCTAATCACAATATTTTTTTAATTGTGTATTATTTAAAAGAGTAATTGAATTATTAAGTTGAAATTAGCATGAAACAATAGGGTTTAGTAGATGACAACAGAATATACAGTAAATCCTCTGATTTTTAAAGTTATAACGACAAAAGCAATAAATCTACCTTGTCTGCAATTTTACAGCAACAGTCCATCCACAAGAAATCTTGTATCAAATCATCATCTGTAAAATAAGGCATCAACGACAAACTAATTATAATCTCAGGACACATTCTTGGAAAAAAGCTTTTTAACAATAAAATTATATTTTTTATAAATTCTAATTTGACTATAAAGTCACCAGCTTTTTTGGAGGGGGGGGGGAGGATGTTGTATCTAAAGAAAACCAAGACCAAGGAAAAATGATATGAACACAAAACAAACTTTTTTTAGCACATACATTTATCAGCCTTATCTGATTTCCAACTTCCACACATATGAAGATTGAAGAAACAGTCATTACTATCATTGAATTCTATAAGCACAGGAAATTTTTATTTATATTTTAGTTCCCATGAGAATAAAATGAGAGTGATGAAGAGTTTGAAGTTGGTGAAAGTTTCTGAGTTGCCTCTCATGCACACACAATCAGTTTGCATATTTTATTGAAATATGAAATATTATGTATCTATTTTCATGTGTGGATAAATGGCTTCATAGCACATAATCAATATACACATATGTATGTGTATGCATAGATATAACATTCTATTAATGGACAAAAAAACCTACCAAATAGTTTAAAGAAAGCTGTCATTTCCTGACGCTGAATAATTAAACATGAACCTTTTGATTGTTTTGGCTTAATATTATAATTTTTTTTTTTTCCAGAGGTCTCCCGGCAGTCTTTAAATTTTGGGCGCTTAAGGGCAAGTGTCTTTTTTTGTTGATATGATTTAGATTCACTTGGTTTTATATGAATGGTAATAGTGGGAGGTGTTCGACAGCAGCTTTGATTATGTTTCATTTTCCTAAATGAAGTTACCTGTTGAAATAAAAATAAATCCTTAGCTGAAATTAAAGTTATAGAAAGGCTATTCTGAAAAACACACTATGCATATGCTATATCTTTATTCATATGCTGTGACAAATGTTATATCTTTTCTATATTTTTGCTACATAAAGTACAATATAATTGAATTATATATATATATATAGTGTATTAGTCTCACTTCTGCAAGTTACTCAGAGTATTTGGTGTTTTAAAATGTTATTATATATTGTCATTGAGTAACAAACTAATTGTATTGATCATATCAACAGTTATTAATGGGTATAATTATAAGTTTGGACAATGGGTAACCACTGATATTATCAATACTATCTTGATATGTGCTAATTTGCAATTCAATTACCTATTTCAGATTAAAAGCAGAATTACCCTTGTTCTTGGTGGTGGTAATTCTACATGATTATAAAGCATAGTAGGAAACTGTTCCTACTCTATATTGTGTTCTGACTTAGATTTCTAGTTCTTAACTTATTTTTTGTATGTAGTTTCCAGAATTCCTTCTCAAAATATAAGTTGCATTTCCAACATATTTGACTGGGAAAGAACCTTCACATGGAATGTTCAATCCTTTCTACAAATCTTAGTAGTTTTAAGTGAACATTAAAAATAGATTATAAAACATATTATTAAAAATTGTTAATTTAAATATAAATACTGTTTTCAATATAGCCATAGGGAAAATTAAGTACTGAAAAAAGTGACTTATGACCATTGCAGCATCCCATGGTCATATGATCAAAATTCAGATGTTTGGCAACTGGTTCGTATTTATGACATATTTATGATATTTATGTCCTGGGTTCATGTGATTTCCCTCTTTGCAACCTTCCAACAAGCAAAGTCAATGGGAAAGCCACATTAGCTTAATAACATTAGTGCGCACTCACAACCAGCGAACTTGTTGCTAAAGTTCACCTCTGGGAACAGCTGATTGGGGATATTCTGGGAGGCCAATCCACTCGCCAATCAACTGCTAATGCTGAATCAGATTAATGTGCTGAGGCTGACCAAGCTGTTTACTCAGGATGCTAGGCAGATGAATATTGATGGATGTTGTAGGCAGAGGCAGAATTTTTTCCTCCCCAAAAACTAAGGTGCATCTTATACTTTGAAAAATATGGTATTCCTAGAGATTTTGAACAACTTCATTCGGAGTTGTTTGTGGACCAGAATTAAATACTTTGGAAAATTTAGGGTTAAGTCTACATGTTTTCATGGCCCAAAACTAATGCTCGGGATATTCTTAGTGGTTTTGGAAGGAAAAGAAAGTTGATAGATTTTTGTTCTGAGATATTTGTTGACCAAATAAAATATATGGGAAAATCACATTTTAAAAAACTAATCTGTTGTCTTTTTTTTTACAAGAAAATACTTTAAATCATAGCATGTAAAACTTTTCTTGAATTACTTCCTTATGTCTTAATTTCTGAGGTGAAATGAAAATAGTAAGTATTTAGGAATATTTTATCTAGAATCAAATCAATAACACTAGGGTGTGCTGCTTACCTTATATCCTGACAATGGAACTGCACCACTGGGTAATTGAAAGCCTAGAGATTAAAAACATAATATGTAAATGTTTCTTATCCAGTGAAAAGCAAATTTTTCTCCTTTTATACCGCCCCCTCTCTCTTTCTCTCTTCCTTTTCTAATTTGAGGTCTTTCATACTGCAGTAAACTTTTCTGTACCTTAATTTCAGAAAAGAGAATAATTAAACAAAAGTTGAGAAGCAAAAAGATAGCAAAAAGGCTATCAGCACTATTAAAATGGAATTACTAAGTCAGAAATATATTTCCCAAAGTAAGACCTTGCGCCTTTATTACAGAGCACTTTTGTTCTATTCCAACTAAATCCCATGTGAATAAAATAAGATATTCAACTTATTTTTCTAATCATCTTTTTAGCTCCATTGCCTTTTAAATCCTTCAGCAGAAAGAAAAAAAACCTCCAAGTGCAAGGAAAGTGTATTTGCATGGGATAAGTCATGAAAATATACTACAAAGTAATGTATCCTCATAGGATTGATAAAAAAAGACCCTGTATCATTTTTTATGACTGCTGATTTGAAAAACCACGTTTGCCTTTTCAAGAGGCTTTCAAAGTGTTGGGACTAATAACTAGTTATTTTTTAAAAAAAATTATGAAACTGTAAAATGTATTAACTTGTCTCTTTCAGGCTTGTGAGGGCTTCTGGGAATATGGCTTGCTGCTTGTCATTTATTCCTAAAAGCATACAGATCATTTCAAAAGATGGCCTAGCATACAAGCAAAGGGACCTAATGCTGCATAAGTATTTAATATTATTTATAAATAATGACACCCTAGAATTTCCCTTACCTCAAATATTTTAAGGGGATTTTTAAAAACCGGCACTCCCCAATGTTTTAAACAAGAAAATATTCCTCTTCATACTTGGTATTCACCCTGTAGAAAATAAAAGTGTTGAAAGGGGCAGAAATATTCAGAAGTGGCCCCTTCCTCCCTAAAATACACAGTAAAATGGCAGCCTTTCTCCCAAAAATAAAGATATTTGTCACAGTAAAGGGCTTGAAATGCTCAGATGTTCTTTTAGTTATATTTTATTTTTTTTCCTCCAAAGACTAAGAAAGATTCATATTTAGCAGCATGTAGTTACTAAGAAAACTGGAAACTTCCTGCATGCTACATTTACCTCAGACTTAAGGGCCCTACATGGGAAAGGAAAAACAAGGGGTCACTGCCTTTTTCAGCCAATCAAAAATCTCCTCCTCACACTGACTTCTTTCAGTGTGGAGGTTTTCTGGGGAGGAGCTATTAACACCCTTCCTTCCCCCATTAAATTTCCATCCAATCAGGACCGAGGCATTATAATTCACAGCCAATTGAAACAGAAGGAATTCATCAATCCAGAATAAGGATGGCTTAGTTTTAAAAGAGTGGGGTCATAGCAAAACATAATCAGAGTAAATAAGGAGCTAAAACAGATCATTTCTAGGATGGGTGAGAGAAGGAAAAAATATATATTTCCCGGTCTTAGGTCTGCACTTAGGCAATGAAAGTGTGCTAATGTATGCTAATACTATTAACCATCAAATAAGGGTGGCAAATGTGTTAACTACACAATTATGTCATAATATCAACATAGCAATATAATATAAAATGCTCAGATTGTGATTTAAAACAAAGCATTAGAAGACAATGCATTTTTTGGAAAGTATAGATTAAAAAGTAAAGATTTAAGTACATATCCTTGTTTCACAGCTTTAAAAAGCTTGATATTTTTCAGGTTCCCTACTGAGGTGAATCTATACTTAATTTGAGTATTTGTATATATTAATTTTCTATCCAAATTCACCTGATCTAGCTTCATCTATGGTTTAATTCTACCAATAGAATCAAAAGTTGCATAAAAATCCAAAAGGCAACATTCAACCTGTGGGTGTGTTTTATATTTTTATTTATCAGATACTCTAATATAAAACAATAATTAATTGTTGAATATGTTGCTCTTAACCTTGCTTGTTTCTCTGCACCCACTTTGTTATCAAAGATCCAATCCTCTTAATTTATTAGCTGAATGTTTTACGTAAGTTTTAGCTATGATGTCAATCAGAATAATTGGTTTATACTTCTCCAAGGAAAGTACCATCCATCCATGTTGGTATATTGGGAGCACTATCCTTGTATTCCAGGCCAGGGAATATAGGCCAGAAGAATTATTGCTATTAATTAGTTTAGCCAAAATAAGCTTCCATGAGGCAATAACACTTTTAACAACCACCAAAGATATATTCTTCTCTGGGGACTTTGCCTAATGGCAATGCCAGGATCAGCTAGTCAATTTCTTTTAAAGAGCCAGGGATCCAGGGTATACTGTCACAAAGTTTTAGGTTAAGTAGGATGGGCAGCCATCAATGGTGGGTTGCAGGCGGTACGCCCTGGTATGAGTGTACTGGAGCCTCCCCGGAGCACTGGATACTGTTCAGGTATGGTGCTCCGGAGGGCCCACCCACCCAAACTCCTTATCGATCTTTTAAGTCTTTGGTGCTTCCGTGCATGCGCATGGTGCGTACAGCACCTGCACGATGCTGTGCTGGAGCATCGCGGAGGATCGCAGAGGCGCTAAGACGCATGCAGTTGGAACAGGATCCGGAACCCACCATTGGGGGCCATCTAATATATGGATCACCCATTCCTTTTTGATCACTCAATTCTCTGCATTGTTATTATCTTCATCCAAATTGGCATTTACCAATTTCCAGAATAATATGTCTTTAGAATCTATGGTGTCAGGTGAAAATACCAGAGACATTTGATATAATGTCTTCTTGTGTTTTAGGATACATTTATACAGTTTTCCCCTAAGGAATTATATGGGGCACAACCATCTTTTGCTCTCCTGGCCAAATTCCTATCCAGGCAACATGTTGTCCCACATCTCATATCAAACCAACAGCTATGTTATTGGTGAATTGAACTTTATTTAGAAGTGTCTGCCTTAATTCTTTATTTTCAGCATACCTCTATCTTAAAAGCCAGTATATTGGAATGTGATAGGATGCTGATCACTACAGTATTGTGGAATAACACCTGTTTTGAAATGTTCCTATTATGGCAGAAGGGATACTCCCTAGTCAATTATTGTTGTTATATTTGTTATTAATTCTCCATTAGGATGGATAACTGCCTTAATTGTTAATTATATATATAACTGCCTTGTTAATTATTATGTTCAGTCCCTTGGTTGTTTACAAAACTAGGACATGTCTCATTTGTAACCTATGCATTTAATATTAGTTTGACTTAACCCATGTTATAGGTCTTACTTTTGTTCCCTTTCTTTTACATTTGTCATTGTCTGATGGATTTTGTTCCATGGGGTATATCATTAAAAATATTTATAATCTCTATTTCTTCAAGTAAGAAATATATAAAATATAAGGAAACCTTTTTTCCTGAAAAATACGTATCAGATTAAGAATTAGCTACATGATTATGGAAAAGAATAATCTTAGCCAAATATAATTTTGGTCACTAAAATGATTCTACCTAGTTTATGTCTCATTCCAAAATAAGTATGTTCTATAAATTTCAGCTTTCATAATTAGCCGGACAGCAGGGGGCAGCATACATCCATTGCCAAAATCAAACATTTAATTCCCTTGCAAAATCAATTTGCAAATACTATACACATTACAGAAATTAAGTTTCTAAATATTATGCAGTCATTTCCATGATATGGTGTAGTGCATGAAACTGGTCATTGTAGCTCATGTAAATTGTTGTATCTTAATGTTACATAAGAACCAAATGCAATACTTATTTTTATTTGCATATTGTCTATCAGGACTCTAGTTATGGTTTAGTTAAAAAATAAATTCCCAGAAAATTTGCTGGACAGCTTCTAAACAATTTGGGAGGCAGTTTTTTGTGAATTTAAGGGAAACAAGAAAGGTCAAACATAGTTATATAGGGCTTGCTTTTTGCATTATGGACTTTGGCAAATGTGCTTTATTCTGAAGATTTCTATATTAAATTAAACCACAATGGGTTTGGTTTAATGCAACATATGAAACTGAACCAAGTGAATACCTGAGAAAAACAATAACCAAATTTTGTCGTCGATGTTTGTTTTATGGGTGGGAAATGACAAATCTTTGCAAAAAAATATACATGTAGAAACAATCACAATGCCAAAGATGGCAAGATATATAATGCCATGGATTTCTACATATAATGTATGGCTATAAAAACTGAATGAAAATAGGAAAAAATTATCAGAAAAGCTGGGGGGAAATCAGTGCCTTTGAATGGTGAAGACTGTTGAAAATGCCTTTAACAACAAGGAGAACAAATAATTCAACACTCCTTGAAATAAAATCAGAGAGCTCACTGGAAACACTAATAAAAATTATTAACATCCAAGTTTATGTATTAATACTGTAGATACCTAATGTGGAAATAAAGAGTCTTTGGAGAAGATTCTGCCTGGAAAAACAAAAGTAATAACAAAAGAGGCCTGCAGAAAATAGATCAAGTTTCATATTGTTTTCCTCCTATCCTTGGCCTGTTCCTTGCATTGTATATCATACTACTTATGTTTTCCCCTCAAAATAATTTAATGAAAACTGCAAGCATTGTAGCCTTTGAGAGTCTTTAATCTTTCCACCAGATACTTGTTAATGCAGTTTTTTTTTTAAAAGGAAATAATAGTCCTTTATTGTTATTCTTTGAGAAATTTAGAGTATTTCTGTAGATGTCTTTCCAAGAAATAACTGTCAAATTTCAGATGAGTCCATGGTCTGTTGGACTCATAGTATTTCATAATATAAAATGAAGAAATGGTAGGGATTACATCAATGATCTACAGCTATTTTTTTTTTTGCAAAGTTCAGATAGATTATTTAAGTAACTTTTGGAAAGACAAGAACTCAGGCCAGGCTTATATGTTTAAGAAGAGAAAAAAGTTTTATCTCTTTTCTCCCCACCCCAGATATTTTAGCAATTTATATAAAAGTGATATTCTTCACCAATTTTTATGACAAAAACATGAACTCAGGAATAATTAATGAAAACACTTGATTTTTTTTTGTCACTGATAAATTCAATATCCAGCATTTTCCAAGTAAACACCCAATGTTAATCTTATCTAAGATGCCATAGATCAGTTCTACCCCAGGAAGACAGAATTATACAGCATTAAAAACTGGCACTTCCTTGCAATAAGTTGGTTCACCATTTTTGAGCATAGGGATTGATGAGTTCTGTAAAATCCATTTAAAGCACTCAGAAATTAAAGCTGAAGTCCAATTTTGTATGGACATTTTGAATCGTTCTAAAACTGTTGAATTTTAGATTCTGAATTTAGCTAAATTTGATGCACATTTGTAATTAATATTTTGTTTGTAAAAACATGGCTAGGATCAAGATAACCAGGGTTATTTGCATATATTGCTACATTTCACTTAAGTCAGGAACTTAATAGTCATGTCAGCTCAGCCCCTTTCTACTTCTGTACAATGCTCTTGATGAAATTATCCATTGGTTGCCATCATTTGACCCAAATAAAGCACGCTGGGTTGCAAGGTGATCATTTTCCTAATCACAACCCAGCTGAAAGCTGCCTGGGACATGAACAGATTTCCAACAGATAGTTCATAAATTTAAGTTGATGTTTGAATAACAGGATTGGATTGTCAGCAAGCAGAAAAAAGTAACTTCTTATGAACACATATTGTATATAATATGCGTTATTCTGATTTGAATTTATCCTAGGTTTCACAAATAAATGTATACCTCTTAATGCATGCAATTTCCAATACACCATATCAGTGATGGCTAACCTTTTCGGCAGGGTTCCAGAACTGGAGCACACCAGAAACCAGGAGTGGCCAGCTGCTCTTCCAGGTCCCATCACACACATGAATACAGGCCAGCTGCTCTCCTCTGGGTTCTGGCGTGTGCATGCATACCAGCCAGCTGGTCATGCATTTACTGGAACCCAGAAGAGCAGCTGGTGACAGTGCACATCCCCGCAGAGGTATCTGCATGCCACCTTGGGCATGCGTGCCATAGGTTCACCATCATGGCATTATATATTATAAGACTGAGATTTCAGGAAAATTTCATCATCTATGCAATGCTGCTTTCTTTTTATTGGCCTATTATACATTGGAATTCAAAGATGTGCAATAGTATTGGACCTAAAGGTTTGACTAAATTCTATGATCAGAATCCACAATTGGTAGGTTGTATCTTGAATAAGCATAAGAATTTTAGATTATTATTCCAGTGCATAATCAGGTACTTGTTCAAAGGAAAACAGACAAGGAAATCTTCATTGTTAAAAGCTGAATTTTGAGAAGTCTGTAATGCCAAAAAAATTGAAAGACAGAGAATTGCCATATAATCAATCCATCTAAATGATAAATATATCATAATAGTTGTTGATATTGCTCATTAGGATGAGAGGAGAAGATATAGTTCATCACCCCAGTATTTTTTTCAGTTGGGAATCTAGTATGAAAACTCTTGCTAAGAATTACTGGAGTATTTAGATAGGCTTAACTTTTATTTCCAGTTTCACTGAAAAAACTGGTAAATTAAATAATCCAGTATACCTTTTTTGCCTATTGCTGTAAAACAATTAGAATTTTTTTAACCAGCAAGTCATTAACAGGAAATTTATTTTTTAAAAGCACTACGGTTACTTGGTGCTGATATGAATTAGTTATAGAAGTGCTATAATTTTTTAAAATCTATGTTTTTATATGTTGCATTTCTTATTTGTGCATTGTTTGCTTTCTATTATACTTTTATTTGGTGAAAGGTTTTTAGTAATAAGAGAGTAACATGGCTCATTTTAAATCATGGTTTGTTCAAAGTTTGAATTGTTCACAATTGTCTGAATTTACATTTCATTCCTCTCAAGTTTTAAATTACATGTGATGCATGAACCTGTCTATTTCACTATGGTTGTAAAACAAGGTAGAAAAAACAGGCAGGACAGTATCTAAGGTTAGTACTTTTTTACTTTAGCAGTGGTCATATTTTTATATGAACATGCAGATGAAAAAACAGAGAGCAGGCTGCATACACTCTTTTTAGAGAAGTGAACAGCTTAAATTGTAGTAGTTGCCAAGATTTTGAGCTTTCCAGCTGTTTCTTCCATACTGATGCACTGGGGATTTTTTTTCCAACATTACTTTTCCTTTCTTTTTTCCCATCTCATATTCTTAACCCTGGGTGACTTACAATTAATTACAATTTTCCAGCTACAGGTCTGCATCTGGTCCTTTTCTATATCTTTCTTCTCCACCTAAAATACAAAATAGCTCTATGTAGTAAATAAATAACAAAAATCAGAGCACTCTCTCAAATATGCATATTTGAAACTGGTAGCTTGCACATACTTTAGTGTCTTCCAAATCAAGAAGTAATAATATTAATGACTTAACTGATGTTACTTACCGATAATTCCAAAATTTTAATTTTCACACCTATCTAAATATTGGTATTGGCAATCCCAGCAAATCTATATTTGTGGGGGCGAAGGAAATGTCTGAACAACATGTGGGGTTTCTACCAGGCTTCCAAAAAAGTAATTGAACGATGGGTTAGATGAGACTCTGGATGTCCTCGAGTCCTGGCAGACACTAAAGCAACCAAAAATATGTATGTCCATTTTCTTAATACATTTGTGAGCAAGTGCAATGTAAAAGAAAATTCTGCAACAGAGAAATGAATCTGATTCATATATAAACAATATAAACTCATGTTCAAGGATGGAAAGCCTTGCACTTTATTTTCCAAAGTATTTGGTTAATTGCAGAAAGAGATATTGGACTATATAGCTGCTAGAAGTATTGCAAACAAATTTCCCCCAATCTTTTGTGTCTACATAAGATGGGTATCTACAAAATAACTTAGGATTTTTAAATCTGCAATGTGAATATATTTTAATATTTCTATAAAGTTTCTATCTGCAGGGGAGGATCACTTGTACATTTCATGTTTTTTTGGTCACCCAAAAGATAATGTACTTTTGTGTTTCCATATTTCTTAAATGTTTGGATATGTGTTAGCATCTGCACTGCCTGGAAACACTTCTTTCTTTTGCCTTTTTAATTGTTAATCTTTTCTCTTCAATACTGACCACTATGAAATATGGATATTGGTTAGAACCAACATTCAGCAGATATTGGGATGTTGCACGGAAAGTTAACCCAATCTATTCTAGTGAAGCTGGAACTTAACTGGATTCTATGATTATCTTGCCTTTGGATTAACAAAGTTAGTGGCATTTAAAGAGGTGTTCTTCCTTTCCAAAACATCATGTCTGTAAAATTTAACAGCAGATACATTTGAGACAATGTGTACAACTGAAACGCATTAATGTGCAAATAAGAGACATGAATACAGAATCAAGAGGTTTAGTTGTATTTATTCCTAAAACTCAATATTCCTCCAAGTTGGCAGGACACAACCAGCTTAGATATGATATTTTGCATCCACAAGATGGGTTTTAAACAATGTCCATTCACACGTGTGGAAAAAAGTCTTTTACACAGTTTGTTCAAAAACTATCCTGTGAACTACTTTCATATTGGAATCTTCTAACAGTCCATCCACATTGCACAAGATTGTCTTTAAGCAAATTGCTTATATGACAGTTTGATGGAACAATAGCAGGAAAGAAAACTCCACACAGTAAGTAGAATCTACTTAGAAATAAAACTGTGGAAAAACGCTACTAGAAAGTGACACCAGCTTTACAGAAAGATTGCAGAAAAAGGAACTGTGTTCCTTTTACGCAAGCAATGAATGAAAAGAGGGGGGGGGGAGAGACAGACAATAAAATAATATTTAAAATCATGCTTAATACATTACAACTTCCATTCTGGTTATACAGAAAGGATATGCACCCATGTCCAAAATATTTTTAAAGGAAATGACACATTACTGATCTTTAAACTGAACTTATGGCATGTCAGAGCTCATATATCAATGGGGATTTCATATTCATGAACCAGTTCTATGTACTGAACATGATTTGCCCTTAAGCGCTTCCAATAAATTATTCTTTCAGAAATGTTGCAAGAAAAAGATGATAAGTGGTGATTTTAGTGATTATATTATTTGTTGCACAGATACTAGAATTGTGCTGTTACCAGATATTAACGACAAGAGAGATTTGTTACAGGATACTGATAAGTAAAAAGTTACCATCTTTCAATAATTTTTTGCATGCTTAGATAAGCAGTGATGTAACAGCATTTTCTCCCAAAAAATAATGTTTAAACTCAGATGTACAAATTAATGTTCTAAAACACTTAAATAAGTAAAAAGGGATCATTATTGGACCAGCAGCTATGTAAGCTTTGCTTCCATTTTCTCAATTCCTACTGGGGTTATTGTCATGAATTTCTCATTTAGCTAATGACTCAAGTTCACCTGTCTGAAGTCAGATGAGAACTTTTTATCACTGTGCTGGATAACTGCAACTGAAAATTAGCCATTGTTCTGGAAGTGACATTTGTTCAGCAACTTGGCACTGCACCATTCTTATTACTGAGTTCTGTGATTTTAAAACAGAAAAATAACAGTTTTTAAATACCCTTATTGAATGTTTATATTAGCATTAGTATCAACCTTTTACCCACATAGCAATTAATGCATGCCATTAAAAGCTAATGAATTATTTAAAAGGATTGGAATAAACAGTCAGACTTCAAATGAATTAAACAACTTTACTAAATGGAAAAAAAAACTACATTTAATGTTTAAAACAAAATGGAATTAGAAAAGAGGCTTAAATTTAAAGAACTTCACTTAGCAGAAATCACTTGCATAATACGTGCTATTTATAAAATGCAAGATTCAAATCCTCAGTGTAACATTTGCAAAGGCAAAATTAAAGTTTTACATTTATTGTTGCGCACAGAATGGTACAAACTGTAACCTTACCTCTTAAATCTTACAAGTTTTTCAGTGTCCAATAAAAGTTTGTAATCCTATTCAATGAAATCTTTACCTGTCAATTTTTATTGTCTTACAAACTTTACACATGACCTTACACTTATCATTAATATGAATCCTTAAAAAGGAAAGCAGGAAAAGAAATACTGCATCAAATCTTGATCATGTACAGAAATTATTGCTACTATATGTACACTACAAAGCAGAAATCTCTACATGAATATGAATTTTGATCATGAAAATCCAGAAGATATCATTCTTTGTAAGATAAGCCTTACAATCATGTAGATATATTAGACAGTTCAACCACCATTAGCTTTAGTTTCCTTACTGTTTATTTATCAATATACATTTAAATAACCCTCCTGGAGTGTTGGCAGGGAAGAAAAGGGAAGAGAAATAGCACTTCCAAGGCTGTCGGAGAAGAATCTTCACGTCTTCTGAGAAATGCAGAATGTACTTTAATGCAAGTGTGGCATTATCAAGAAGCCAAGCATGCTGAAAAATGTTTCATGCTAATAAAATCTAATGCAAGATATTCCATGACCAACAAAGAATACAACTTTTGACCTATTTTAGTTGAATGAGTGCTGTTATGAGTATAATGTTAGTTTAAAATGGTGCAGTGCACAAAGTGGCAGACTAAATAACAAGTTTTGTTTTATGAAAAAACACTGATTTCTAGTCTCTTTGGAAAAGGAACATTACTGTAAGAACTAGCTTGAGCTTGGTTTGTCTTTAATCACCAGACTCCTATTAGAGGGGGAAACACTTAGTCAGCAAGATTACTGGAAGAGAATGAACAGCAACAGCTGTCTATTCAAATCCCTTCCACAGTTCATTTTTAGCCAGGGAACATTACTAAGATACCTTGCCATCATTCTAGCTACAAAATAGAAATAAAAGCAATCAAGCAACAGTAAGATCACATTACACAAATGAAACATCATGCTCTCATCTGATTTAACTATTACATTAAGCTTAAATTGGGATGTTGGTCAACTTTAAAACTGACATGTATGCAACCAAAATAATTTGTTTAGATCTGATTTACTTTATGTTGATTACTGGAACTTGGTGTATACTTATTACAATACAGTGTTGCACATCTGTCAACTAGAAAATATTAAGGATCCTTTACCCGTCTCTTTAAGTTAAAGATGTGACATCATAAAGGTTGTCAAATGGCTGGATGGTTTTACAGTGCACACTTATTATATACTGTATATATGGAGTTTTGTCCTTTACAGATCTGATGATTTTCTACTGTATTCCTTTCTTCACCTCTTCTTCGGTGGATTAGCTGTGCGAGGTGGAGTAACTGGACGTCCAGAATTCAGTCCACCATACTGGTACTTTGCTTTCTTTTCAGAAGGTTTCAGAATCTTAAGAGAAAAAAGAGTCAGTCTTTATGAGCTGGGAAATATTTTGCATGTCAAAAAATCATTTTATAAAATGGCTGCCATGACTGAACTAGCTATACCTATCTTCACTTAGGAAACTGAAAAGAATAGAAACAAGTAACTTGCCCAAGATCACAAATCCATAGCAAAAGGAGGACAGATGACTTGAATATAAACCCATTATTTTGAATTTATATGACCTTAATTAGGATTATATAATCTTAGACTGTTTTCTGTCACCTTGTACAGCCTATGTCTTGCAAAATTATGACTACCAGATCTGCAACAATTATTTATTCTACTCTGCAGAAGTCATTTTGCAGACAGTGGTGCTCAGAAACACATATATCCCTTCAAAATACTACAGGTAGAGTCCTTTGATAATGCAATAATTGGGAATAGAATTTTCAGTGCTAAGTAATGAAGTCATAAAGCACGACTGGTGTTACATGACCACATTGCTTAGTGACAGTAATCCCATTGCTGTCATTAAGTGAGGACCTCCTCATGAATTCCAGCTTGTTTTCAACAATCAAAGTCAATTGAGAAAATGGCAGGAACTTTCAAGTCCTGGGCACTTGCAAGCAGGTCAGCAGAGAAGCATGGGACTGTGGCAGGATCAGAGATGGCTGTTGCTTGGAGGCAGAGGGTGCACAAGTGGGCCAGGGCTGGCTGCAGTGGTGGTAGCAAGACAACACAGGGTAGCCAAACGAACAGGGATGGCAAGAGATAGGAGAGTTGAGCATTATTCATTCAGCACCACTATAATTTTAAACAGTCACTGAATGAATGGTTGTTAAGTGATGACTAACTGTAGACTGATTCCCTGATATGTTCACAAGGCCCGAGATGTTACAAAACTTGTTACATGTTATTTCCTTGTCCACTAGATATAAAATTAAAGAAATACCAAAGAAGAATTCAGCTTTGCTTAAAAGGATTTTGAGTTGTCATTATCCACAAACTATTATTTAAGAATATTTCCGATTTGTTAAACAAAACAGAACAATTTCTGGGCGCTAAGTTTTTGACTGTAGAAAAAACATCAAGCATTTTGGAAATTTATCTGGAGTTCGGAACAAATCAGGTTGATTTTATCCATGCTCTAATACACGACCAGCAACAGAGTAGTAGTATATTTTTCTCTCTTATACATGAGCTGCATACAATAAAACTATTGTGCAAAACATTTTGTAATAGTGAAGTTTACAAATACCCATTCATTCATTCAATTTCTATACCTGCCAATGTTATTGCTAAACTGAAATTTAAAAAAATAATTGCATTTATTGATTGCTGTATCAGAAAGAGATGGGAGCTCAGCGTTTTGTAAATGACTATCTCTGAACATAACACCAAATCCCGTTTGTGCTTTGCACTAATTAGGGTATTATTTTACCTACATTATCAAAAGATTCCATTGACAGAGCTCAAGCTTGGATTCACATCTTCAGGCCTTTTATTTTGGTTTGATATAATGGACATAATAATTAGTGCTTCCAATTAGAGCTTAGCTTTTATAATCCAAAATCCTAATCTTCAATCAAGATTCAATTAAATATTATCTTTAGTGATTCCAATTAAGTTTTGCTATTCTAGTTTTAGGCACATAGTAATGCTTTTAAATTTATAACTTATGGTTAATATCAAAAACACCTACCTGAAAAGAACACATTAAAGTTTCATCCACACTCATCATGCCACCAGCATTGTCAAATTCTCCACAGTAATTAGGAGCAGAAAATAGAGTAACCAGCTGTCGTTTAGCAAAGAATTCATAGCCATCTTCAACCACCTGCCAGTGAGAAGAACAGAAAACCATTATCAATATAATTGTAAATATATCTATAATTTGAGATTGCTTGTTAAAAATATTTTGTCTAAAAACAGCTGAAAACTTATTAAAAATCAGGATTTTTAATTTTAAAATTTAGATAGAAAAACAATGAAAAGAATAAAAGAAAATGAGTATGTATGCATGTGTAAGCAAGACCACCTTTACAAAAGTGCTACATTTTATAATGCATTTTAAAATGAAGGCGTACATGAGAATATAGTATATCAATGATTATGGTCCTGTACCGTAATTTCACAGGAACATTTTGGGTGTGACAGTGTATTTGTATTAACAGAAGTGATAGTTATCTGCAATCCAATTTACACTGGCTCATCTACATGCCAGAATACACTGAATGCAAAAAAATAAACACGTGCCAAAGCATAAATTCTGAGAATAAAAAATGCAATCTTTTTAGTAGTAATGTTTTCATACCTGATGAGCTCGACAAATCAAATCCAAATCATGTCTGTTCAAGAATTTGCTGACCACATCAGCTCCAAAAGTAAAGGAAACTCCACGGTCATTTTCACCCCAGCCTTGCACATCCTTGTCAGGATCAGACCACAACAGATCACAAAGCAAGCCTTAAAAAGAAAAAAAGTATACATTCATTAAGACTTACAAACAACATTACACATGCCACAATATGAACTCATAGCTGCCATTTCTTTAGTTGGTGTTGGCTTTCATTTGCATCAAGTTCTTCCCAAGAACCTACGATATTCTAATGCAGGGGTCAAATTCAAGGCCCAGAGGACAGACCCGGCCTGTGGGATGCTTAGATCTGGCCCTGGAAACGGTGACGGACTGGCCCACAGTGCCTCTGCCAGCAAAAATTGAGCTTGGGAGAGCCGCGGGTTGCCCCCCCCAGCCTCCGTTTTCGCTGAAAGGATTGCAGGAGGCCGTCACAGCCAAAAACTGAGCTCAGGAAGCCGTTTTCGCTGGCAGAGCACTTGGGACACCACACCCATCCCGGCCCCCTGAAGTCAAACACAACCTTAATGAAATAGTTTTACACCCCTGTTCTAATGTATTGACATGTATGTGTGAATCAGTAAGATTTGTTATTGGCAGATGGAAATTTTGTCAATATTGTGTCATGCAATTTTTGATTATTGCGGTTATTGTATTTAAATTTATTTATATATATGTAGCATAAACGTATTTTTTAATTCCCAAGGCTACAATCACTAAGCACTAGTTTATAACTCACTGGTTTCACTTTCTAAAAAGTAATATAATTTAATAACCTAGTTAAGACACAACAACCCTGAGAATCCAAATTGATAAACAATGTTTGACTACATTTCTTATACAAATAGGCTACTTCTTTAAAATCTAAACAGCAATTTAATATATAGAGAGGGACTATGTCATAATTAGTACTCACTAAACCCAGTGGGACAAAATTCCCATTGTCAAGCCACAGCATTAATAACTAGAAAATGTCTACAGTGCATTTTCTATAATTAACTTTTAAAACTTTAACTTTAATAACACTTTTTAGTCCCCTTGCCATAAGATTCTAGGTGGTGTATGTTAATTTCTAAATATTACAGTTTTAGGACCAGATTAAGTATTTTGAGAATATGCTCCTAAAACAGCAGTTGCAGAAGCATATTCTTAATCCTTAAAAAACTTCACCTGTGTCAGGAACATCTGTGGGTCTCATAATTCTTCGGATCTGTTCCATTGACTGCAGATCTGGTGACAATCCTATGACAACAAAAGATTTTAAGTTTACTGTAAAAAAATGTATTTTCTATACTTTTCAGTTAAACACAGTCAAGTTAATTAGCCATAGGATTTTTGAAGTCACTTTTGTAACTAGTGTTACTAATGCTGATACTTTTAAGTAGAGCAGCACTACCATTTTTGCATGTCTGAATAACAGGAAAGGAATTCTTAACTGATCCATTTCCAATACTTTACAGATAAATATAAGATGAAACTCTTGATAGAGAACAGTTATAGTTCAATGAACTGGCATAAGAGTAGGAATTTGATTTTTTTTTTGATTAAGCATATATAAAACCATTCAACATTTTAAAACTCAGAACATGTAAGTATTCTATGCTCAAAACCAAAGAACAGGCATTTTAAGAACTGTGTTTATGGCAAACACTTTTAACAATTGCAGCCTTTTTGAACTGTACGGTTAAGTGTTCTGTGCAATGGGACCAGAATGCTATTTTAAATTTTCTTTCTGTGCCACTGTACAGCAGCAGGGTTATTTTCTGCTACTATCTGCTTACATTGTGTGAGGTGATCTTGAGGAAACAGAGTTAAGCTGCAGGCGGCATTCTGGATCTCAGAAAGGACTTGTACTGCTGCAAGGAACTCCTGTGACTAGACACGAGTTATTGCCACCATTCAAACTTCACTAGTAAGTAAAAGGTTGTCTCTGATGGTTTTAGATCTGGTATGCAGCTGTAGCAGCATCATTTCAAAACAGTATAGAAAAACAAGTAAGTAATTCAAGGAAGGGAGTACAAATAGTAAGCAAGCATAGGGTTAGACTACACATATTTTATTTTATTTCAACCTTTTCTGATACTTTGGTATGTCTTGCATGTCTTGAAACAGATCTATGTACCTGCAACACACTGAAAATGTATGCCACATTTTTTTTAAAAAAACTCTTACAGTCATCTCCACATAGTGACTATTTTCTAGGTGGGAAAAATGCTGAGCACAGAAAATCTAAGAATTTATTCTGAATAAACTAAAATTTTAGGCAGTTTTCTCCATAAAACAATTCAAATGAATATGCTTGGTTGGAGTTATATTTTCCTAGAAAAATGTCAACTCTAAAACTTTTTTAAAAAGTCCCAAAAGGCAATGGGATAGAGACTATGAGTTCTAGCCATGCCTTGGCCATGGAAGCCAGGTGGGTGACCTTGGGCCAATTGCTCTCTCAGTCCAAATCACTTCACAGGGTTGTTATTGTGAGGAAAATAGGTGAACAAAGGTGGATATGTTTGCCGCCTTGAGTTATTTGTGAAAATAATAAAGGCATGATACAAATGAAACATTTTGTTATTCAAAAAATGCACAGATCACTCTAAAACATACAATTTCCTATAATCGAAGGAATTAAGAACAAGAATCAATAAATAAAACGTTAAAATGCTACAGAAATCTAGCTTCTCAACAAATATACTTATAGAGGGAAATGCAGTAATGGATTGTATGACTTCTACTTTTAAAAAAAAACCATCACTATTTCTAAATCACCCTGAATAGTACTTTGGATACAAAACACTGCTTCCCAATTGTCAAAAGGCAAATCCTAACTCTTTTAAAAATGACTAGCATAGTCCCAAGTAACATACTACATACATAGATTTATAGAACAAGAAAATTTACTAGAATAGGAAATTAGCAGATAAATTATTCATTGGACATACTAGGAAGAATTTGCACAAGGAATTAAACTATACCCAAATATGCTAATAGACTTTTTCAAGTGCAAAGCAAATAAGCCTGGACCTAGTTCTATGGAATTTCTTAATTATATAGCATAGGTCTGAAGGATAGGGAGGATGTACAAGATGAAGAATTTGATCTGTCTGCATTCCATTCATGAAATAAGACCACTGTATACAATTCTATGCCTATACAAATACATGTTCTAGATCAGAAACTAATCTGATATTTTCATTTTCCCGACAAATGCTGTCTTCCATATATTTATTCCAAATTCAGTTCTTTAACATAAAACAAAGTAACTATATGGTATCTTAAAGATAGTTTTTATCTTCCTGAGTACATGTGCAAGCTTTTTTCTTCAGATAGGAAAGTGTAGGTGGGTAGAACAAGTGCTTGCTGCTGTACCACTTAAGCAGGACAAGTTTTCTAAGTTATCTCATTAACACTTTATAAAACTGTGTCGACATTATCATGATTACACTTTCCCATTCTTTTGCTGTTACTGTAAGCTAGAATGAGTCTTCTATGGGTAGACATAGAAACAAAACAGCTATTTCAAATATCTACTGGTCGCTGTCTGTCATCAGAAGCTAAATGGAAATCTGTAGGCTGGATGTAGCCTCATTATGATAGATGTTCTAATAACCCTCCATTTGGTATATTAACATATCCTTTGAAAAAACAGTCCATATATTTCCAGTTGGTCGTGCAGGATGACAGTTCACTGGAACGTTTTAAGTTCCTGAACTAAATGCAAGACACTAGGAACTCCCCCCCCCCCAAAGTATTTATGAAATCTGATTTTTCTCCAACAAACTATCTTTAACAAAAAATATTGTTAAACAAATGCATTCCTTGTAACTGTGTTTTAATGATCATTTTAATTTCAGAGAAAGATTTGGCTTTTTTTAAAAAGTATTCATAAGATCTTTGAAAGTGTAGGATTTTGTTTTAACTAGTTTATATTGTGGAAATAATTGTACCAATCTTTGGTGATTTTTTTAAGATTGCATCTTTTATGAAATTGTTATTATACAATATATTAGTTGCATGTTCATATATATGAACTTCATCTACAATTTCTTACCCAGTTAAGGCCAGTGTTAAGAAATGTTAGTAGTTAAAGCTCATTTGCTGGGCACCAACTCTGAGACAAATTCACATCAAGTCACTTATGTATCATAAGCTGGAATTTTGATGAAGCTATTTAAGGATAAGCTTATTTGGAACCTGCTTGTTTTAATTTAAAATATTAGGTTATGATCTATTTCTTCATATTCATTTACCACTGAGCCAAGTGCTTTAAATTCAGACTTCTACTGTGAATGACTCGAAGAAATGTGCTTAGCATGCCATGAGAAATGTGGATGGTTCTGGAGGTTCATAGTCTCCCTACTGAGGTCTACCTACCCTTCCAGAAAGATTTTAGGCACTCTATCTGTATTCTTCAAGGAGTCATAAAGTTGAACAAATATGTTATCTCAGCATACCAGACTTGATCTGGCCTAGCAAATGCTCCTCCTTATTGAATTACAGAAGCATTCAATAAAACTGGCAATATCATCAGAACAGTACAGTTATTAAGATGGGATTAGATAATTTAAATTTCAGCTCACACCAAAAGTTATGCTGTCCTAGGATTTCTAGATCATCTCAACTAACATACACTTTGGTGATTTCTGAAACATAGGCATCATGTATACCCTTTTGCTCACAAGTCCTAGCTACAATATTTGCGAAGTGGCTTAAAGGATAATAAAATAATAAATAGTAAATGGATCGAGCAAAAATTAAGAGTGCAATCTTATAGTTCAACAAATCAATTTGATTCTTCAGATTCTTCAGTCTAGCACAATACCAATGAAGAAGAAAAATAACAGCTCACAAAATAAACCAGTATGGCTGCATAAAGAACTCTCTGATAAATTGAAAGACAAAAAAGTTAAGTATGAAAAGTAGAAAGAGGCGGACATAACTAAGGAAGAATATCAACAAACAGTCCGAGCCTGTAGAGATGAAGTAAGGAAAGCTAAGGCTCACAATGAAGAAAGGCTTGCCACAAAAGTAAAAAATAATAATAAAAAAGCTTCTTCCAACATGTTAAAAACAAGAAAAAGGTTAAGGAAACAATTGGTCCGTTGCTGGGAGAAAGTGGCAAGAAGGTGACAAGCAACAGGGAGAACTATTTAACTCATTTTTTTGCATATGTCTTTACACAAAGGGATAAAACAGTCCAACCTATCAAAAACAGTACCAGAAAAATCAGATTGGGAACACAAATTGAAATAGGGAAGAAAAGGTGGACCAAAAATGACTTCATGAAAAGCAGAGTCAAGAATCACAATAGAAT